CTAAGTCCCATGATCCTCCAAGAAATATCTCTTCCCGCATCCGAAGCCGAGCTGAAGGCCGTCCTGGCCTGGGTGGTGCCGAACTTTTCGCCCAGCCCTTACTTCGGCGTCTTCAGGCAGCTCATCTCAAGGAAAGGCCCCCTGGGGTTCTGGCAGTCAAAGCCATCCCAGAAGCACACTGTGAGGGCCTCAACACGCAGCTCTTGGAGAAGCTACAAGTTTTGGCTGCGCAGCAGACATCGAAGCAATAAGACACTCGCCTGCAGCCCATTTGCGAACATGGCTGCTACACTTGCAGGGTATGTCGCAGACTTACATGTACAATCTTCTCTGGCTACAAAAATGATCTGCAATCAACTGGTCGACGGGTTGCTAGGGGCCATAAGAAAAAGATGTGCATGGAACTGTGGGCCCAGGTCCAAGCAAGTGCGACTTGGGCCACTTGAGCTATCAACGACAGGCTTCGCAGCATCCCTGCAGAATGCACTTGTTTAAATCCCAGGCCTTGCAGGCAGCTACGAACTGGAGATTGGGATTTCTGAACATTAGGATCTCTATGTATAAAAACAATATATACACACACACTTCATCACACCTGTGTAGAGTGCACACTAAAGATCCTACTGTACTCTTTGGGGTTCTGCGATAGGATCCTCTGTTCTTCGGTCATCCCTCGGACCCACCACCTTTTCGCCCGCAACCGCTCAGAAGAGCCCCTTCGGGGCGCCTTCGGGGGAAATCCTCGGGCCGGAAAAGACTACAGCGCTTGGCGTCCACCCCAAAGCCTCGACAAGATAAGTCTAAACCCAAAACCCCAAACCCTGGACCTTAGGACCAAAAGAGACAACCGATAACCTAAGGCAGCCAAATCCAAGAAACTCGATTGCGAAGCCAAAACCCTAAAACAAGACTTGGTGCGATCGGCTCTGCTGCAAGGTCACATGCTCATGATCAACCTCGCAGAGCGCCTCTTGCTAAATGAATTCAGGCATGCCGCCTACGCCTCGCAAGGGCATCTAAACTTCTCCGACTGGAAAATGCAAAAAAGCCAACAGAAGGTGGCTCCGGCTCTGGGTTTAAGGGTTCAGAGCTTTGGGGTTCAAGGGCTAGAATTGCTTCGAGGTTGGGGTTTAAGGGGTTTTGACTTTAGGGTTCTTGCAGGGCCTTAAAAGCGGTCTGGGCAAGCCGACCTTCAGAAAGAGCAGGCCTCCACCGGCTCCTTGGCTCTGAAAGCAGAACCCGAAGCCCTGAACCTTAGACCCGGCCGAAACCCTCAACCCCAGATCCCAAACCCGAGGCGAAAAGTCCGAAGAAAAAAGCAAAAACAAAAAATAAAAATAATAAGAAAGCTCCGGATTTTTCGAATGCAAAGAATGCAGAGCTGCGAGAGCCGAAGCCTCCACGCTGCTTTTGCCACCAACGCCTCCGCCGCCTTCGGATGCGATAGGCTTGGGGTTTGGGATTCAGGGCT